AACTCCTGTTGTTTAATTTGGCTGGTTATGAAGTCACTTTTCAGTGAATGTTTACTTCATGTCATTATTAACTCAGCCAAAGATGTTGGGCTTTCCAGATCTGTGGAACTGCCTTGGCGTGCAGAGACTCCTCCTGCTGCAGGTTAACAAGCCAGGCTGAGATGTCCCAATGAAGAAACTGTGCCACCTTCAAAGGAGACATATATTGGCCACAGTGGCCACAGGAGTGAGTTAAAAATTTTCCTTATAGCATTGCTGGTAAAAAATGACTGCATGTGGAAGACGTTAGAGTGATTAAAAATATTGACTCTACATAAAATAAAGTTTCAAGTACATACCTGATTAAAACATCCAGCGTCCACAATGGGATCATTCACACAAATTGTCATCAGGCAGGTGACTGACCCAGACTTGCCCTACTTAGAGGATATTGGTGTCCTTTAGCTACCAAAGTCGTTTACTTGTCATTTGTGCTCTCGTGGGCAGAAAACAGTTTGGATCTTTCTAATGAAGAAGTGAGGACAGAACAAAGGGTTTATAAAAAGAATGTGATGTCAAGCATTTTTAATCATAATAATGAAGCCTTTGTAATCCTTTATGTCTATAAGTTTGGTTGTGTGTCTCAAGCTAGAAGCAGCCACAAGAGAGAAATTACCCCCGTAGGTATCAGTAAACCAAGAAGCCTCAGGTTTTTAGATATATAATCAAGAAAGAAAATATAGGGCCAAAGGGAGACTGATCACAGAGATACACCAATAAGGAATAATCCACTACTCGTGAATGTTTCCCTCCTTTACTCCCTGTCATTATCTTGCTGACATTCTCACCCTCCGGCCATCTCCTGTGCAGCTTTCTTTCTCTCCATTCATCTTTACCTTCCTTTACAGAACTGATTCAAACAGGCTCCACTGAAGATTTTAAGGGTCAAGGTCTGTTTGGACACTTCTGGTTTGCTCAGCAGGAGATGGCAAAGACTTTAACGGCCTGATTGCCTTTGAAGTCCACAAAATGACAGCAACCTCTCCAATATGATCAAAGGAGGACCGAGGCAACAAAATTAGAGTAATATGCTTTGAATATTCTCCTTGTTGACTAATGATGTCAAAAAAGTACTTATGATGTGAACTATTACAAAATTCTCTTGAGGGAAAATTCTGGAAAACACAATAGTATATTAATATGAATTTTACATTGCCCAGAAACATTATAATGAAAAAAATACCTCACCAATCAAACAAACAAGCAAAACCAGAAATCAGTGAGTTCTATTTTCAGTCATTTTAACTTCATTTCCATTGAAAGGTAGAAGGGGGATATGAAACATTAGGACTGTATTGGTATTTTGGAATAGATGTCTAAATTTAATGGCCTTTCAATACATGTCTCTGGCTACTCCTCTAACTTTGCCGGTTTACAAAGGTTAAATATATTTTTAAAAGTTAATATGCAAGTGTAGTTAAGATACGATAATCATAGGTATGAATGTTATGGTAAATTTAGGCTTGCACTCATGTATATATCATGTATATATCTATCCACTTAGCACTTTAATTCTTATTCTTATTCTTATTTTTATATTTTTATGACAGTATGTTGCACTGAAGCACCGCAGCAATTTCCTAATGTTGTAAACCTGCTCAACATCTGGCAATAAACCCTTTCTGATTTCTGATTTCTGATTTCAATGATTTCTTTGAACTGTTCTTTTTTTTTTTTGGAGTGGACTGATTGTACAGGATACATCTTAGATGACTTTAAAAAGCAAGAATTGGGTCCAAAAAGGTTGAATGGGGTTTTTCTGTAATCCACACAGGCTCAAATATATACATACACCCAGACTAATATTTGGATAAACGTCACTTAGTAAACTGCACAGTAACCAGATGCTATCAACAAACTTCTGGCATAAGTCTGGTAGGATATTTGACCACTGTTTATGAAAGCATTGATACAGTTCATTTAAATTGGTTGGTTTTCTGACACAGACCCCACTTTTAAGCATAGTCCACAAATTCTCAATAGTGCTGAGCTCAGGGCTTTGGGAAGGCCATTCCAGAAGCTTAATGTTAGCCTGCTTTATCCATTCTATGACCAGTTTTGATATGTGTCTTGGGTCACTGTCTTACTGGAACATCCAATTGTGTCCAAGTTTCAACTGTCTAGCGGTTGATTTGAAATGAAGTTGAAGAATTTGGTGGTAGTCTTCGTTCTTCACTATTCTATCCACTTTTTTGCAATGTACCAGCATCAGTGGCAGCAAAACAGCCACAGAGCATGATGCTACCACCACTGTGCTTGAAAGCTTGTATAGTGTTCTGAAAGCCTTCCTGTTACTCCTCTGAGCATACTTTTTGTTATTGTGGCCAAATAGCTCAATCTCATCTGACCAGTAAAAAGTTCTTTGTTGGTCAGCGCCCTCTCAGTCCATAGTGACTGTAGACAGTGACGCTGGTGTTCCAGCAGTTTACAGCATGTTTGAGCCTTGGTGGTTCCTGGGCTGTTTTTGGACATCCTAACACATTTCTTGTCATGGGAGGGTGACAGTTTAGGTCTGAATAACTTATACTTACACATCATTGTTTAAACTGATGATCTTGAAATACCCTGTCATTAACAAATGGCGCCAAGAGATCTTCCCAACTTGTAAAATACACAGTTCTTCTTCTTATATCAACTTCCTTGGACTTTCCCATTGTTCTTAGTACCGTCAAAACAAATCACTTTTGTGCTGGCAAACAGAAAGCACCAGTTGTAATAAATCATGATCACCAATGTGAAGTTAATATGCCTTGGCTTTGTCAAAATAACACTCTTAATAGAACCTTCAGCATCATTTATTAAAAGATTTAAGTGAGTGAGTCTGTATCTAAACTTTTGACCCTGTGTGAATTAGAGAAAATCTAATGTAAATCCAAACTTGTATACCAAATTCTTGTTTTTTAAAGTCATGAAAGATGTGTGATTACAATCATTGCACCCTAGAAAAAAGAGCAGTTCAAAGAAATCATTACAACCCCGAAATTACCACGACATTCATGCCCATGAAGAGTGAATGTAAACTTCTGACCACAACTGTAACTTTGTATAGGATATACAGAAATAGCAAGTCTGTAACTAGGATTGTTTAAATACTGAGGGCACGAGTTAAAAGTTTATCCGTTCAGTTCTGACACTGTAAATAGATACAAGGTGCCTTTTGAAAAGTAGAATCAGCTCCCAAAAATTGTTATTGTTTAAATGCTAAAAAAAGATGTCTGACATTTACAGTCTCACTTTGAATTCACTATCCTGGCCTTTTATAGTAAAAGCTTTATTTTTTCTAATTAGAACAGCGATACATCAAATCATGAGGGAATCAATACTTGGATCTTTTTTTTCTTCTTCTGTTCACATGGCAGACAGAGACGCTTTATGATGTCACCATAACATCACATTTTATTTAGCAGTCAGTTAAATGAGTTTGCTTCACATTGTTAAGCACAGTTAGTTTAGACTGTTTGGTTGCCATGCCGCGGCTGGTGGAGCCGAGAAATAAACATAACTTTTAAGGACAGAGGCAATGATGCTCAGCAGATGACATTTAAAACAGAATTCTGACATAAGAAACAGGACTATTTTTGTGCCCTTTGCCATTTGGCATCCCCTTTAATCAATCCTGATCAGCCAATTCAAACAGAAAAATCAGAGCATGCATTAAGTGAGCGAAGTCCTAAAGTTTTTTTAGGCATCAATTCACTGCACTTCTGCCAGATGTTCATTGCTCATTGCTTGGCAAATGTCTCCATAGCTTATGGGAGATTAGGAATAATGATCTTGACCCAAAAAGAAAAGAACAATTATATGTTTAGTTTGATTTTTGTCCCCAAATTACCCTACCAGAGCAGTATACAGCTGCCTACCGCCAGTTTACGAGTTATTTCTTCCATCTTTCCTACATGTAATTGAACCAGTGATAACAGCTCCTATCATCAGCTGAAGCAAGGAGCATCAGTTCTTCCATAGTGTCTTCCTTTCATCATCACCCAAGACATTAGCTCAGTTCATTGACCCAGTGATATCCTTCGTACCAGTATCTCTGTTCCCCCAAATAGAAACGGAGGACTGCTCCGCTGTGTCTGCTCTATCTGCGTCATGGCCTGATAATCACAAATTTACCAGAAGGCTTGATGCTTTATCTCAACCGAGGAGAGCTAAAACGGTTGCACACCAATATAGGATCTATGTTCTCTAACAGGGAGTCTGGATCTGGATACTCATCAAGGGGGTGTGTGACTACAAGTGTTCTTCTTTAGTCTCATCCTCTGTACCCATAAACAGGGAGAAAATGTGTGAATAACTTTAACCCCCCCCTTCATATTTTCATGAGAAACCCACAATGCAGTTGTACTATTTCCTGAAACAATACCAGGCCAGCATTTCTTAGGATTTCACCAATTGGTCAAATTCTGTGGCTGACAAAACTTGTCAAGGCTTTTTCATAAGTTTTTCATAACTTTATAATTTAAGCCTGTTGCAGGCAGTTTTATGATGTGGTCACATGTGGAATTTTGGTTTCATGCAATTTATCTTGTACACAGTTCAAAGATGAAATTACCAGAATTTGTCTAAATAAGCAATCACACATAGTTGTAACTTTTCTAACATATTCTGGATCTGTTTCAGAGGCTACTAAATTTTCTCCAGATTTTTAAAGCAGAACTTTTTAAGGTTTTCTTAGTATGAATGAAACCAAAGCTTTCCAGCTTTTTTTGCACAAAACCTTGCCAAGATGGGTGTTCACTGCAAAGTTTAAGAGGTTATCACAAACTCTTGACCCTCTAAACAGCTCTAAAAAGATTCCTGCATGTTTATAAATAAGTACTTAAATAGTAAAGAATGACACAAATCTATCATCAACACGCATTTACCATGTTTGAAGTCATAATTACTGACACTTTGTACAATGTGGCAGAAAACATGAATCATAAGCTTTGTTAAAAAAGAAAAACTTAAAACCACACTTCCAAAAAAAGGGACTTTAATAAATAGCTGCAAACCAACTGACATTAAAAACATCAGTAGCTCTTTGAGGCAAAAATGTAGGACAACTAGACACCTGAAGAGCTTTAATACCATTTTGTTTGCTGTACCCACCATTTTCAACTCAACAAACAGGAAGGTAACAAATATAAGTCAGCATGTAAATCCCTTAACAGATTAAACATTTATTGGGGTCCTCTTTGTGAAGAATTTCAAACAGATTAATCAGCTCCTTATAGTGACACAAAATGATGGAAAAAAATCTGTTTGAAATGTTTAGACAAACTGTATCATTTGATCCCACAAATAGCAGATAACAGAAAAGCGGTACACTTGTTCCTCCCACACACACACTTAAACGTACAGACCTGGAAGTCTGTGGAGGGATTCACACAAATGCTATCAGCTAACCCCCTCCTCCATACACGGGCTCTCCGTGACTCAGTACGTGATGTCAGGTCTCTCTTTTTACATTATCTAACTGATAAGCAAAGGAGGTCTTATTGTGCTTCTAGGATCATCCTGTCCATGTCTTCGTGTCTCTCCATTTCTCCAATGTTTCCATTAGTGGGTTTCTTTAGATTGCTACTGTAGGAACAGTATACTAAAAGCCATGATGACACAGCAGCAGGCCACCCACGGACTCTTCCGCTCACCTGGAGAAATGCAATAGTGCAGTGTTTAGGCTTTGTCAGGAAACATTTCTGCATGCATGTATGAATAACAATATGACAAAGTAAAAAAAAACTATATGGGGCAGTCATAGGCTTACCTATTCTGGCACACTTCCAAAAAATTCCTAGAAGCCTAAAAAGTAAAGGAATTACAAACATTACAAACAGGAACTCTGATATTAAAAGCTCAAAGACCTGTGATGATATGTGCACATACAGCAACAGAGGTACTCCACAAAACCCAAGCAGCCATCGGATGTCAAGTTCCATGTGAGGAATTTACAACGTAGAGGGAAAAGACGAACAGCAGGACATCTCATATGGATTGAGCACTGAGGCAAATGAGACATTTTCACTTCTTTTGAGAGCTCTGTGTGTCTCTGCATTTAAAGCAAACTTTTTAAACTTTCATTCTCACCAGATGGTGTCAGCATCCCATTGTACAATTTTTCCCTCAAAGTTGTCTCTGTATAACAGTTACATTTTGTACACTTGAAGCTAAGATTTGTTTTTGAGTGTACTGCTATTTTTCTTTATAAAACACATATTTTCTTGGAGATGGTATTCCCCTTAGATTTTGTGCCTTTCCCTACCACACAAGAATTATTTGCGAAATGTGTGGCATCAAATCAACACAAATAATGTCTCATGCCTCAGTCAACAAATCAATCAAGGGGGAAAACTATTAAATCATCCCATATGACATTCTCAGTTTCAAGCGCTTGTCTGAACAGGATGTCCCTCCCTTTTCCAATGCTGTGTGTATGTGAGTGAAACTGTTTCTGGGATTTGCCAGATTTATTAGAAATGAATTACAGAACTTATACAGCCAAGAATAATGTTGATCCTGAAATTATAAAAATCTGCTTTACTTCTGCTACTTTACTGGCCTTAATAAGCAGCTTCTTATTAACCAAGTGTTTTGGACAGACAAGCCTTACTTGATAAAGGAACGACTTTAATATGAGCAAAAATACAGGCGTAAATTACTTGAAGTGCACCATTTCTATTACGAAAACTGACGGCGTCAGAACCTTAAAGGATGTTCACTTATCATTGGTGGTGTGTGTCTATCAACAAATGCCATTGCTCAGTCTGGACAGAGTAAGACGAGGACAGCAATCCCCTTGCGACTAGGAAAAATCTGGAACTGATTGCAAGTAGTTGTGGTATCCAAGTGGTCACCCCACCGACCTTTTTATTCCAAGTCTATTGCAAAGCTCACCTGGTAGGAGGCAACTTGTTTCCAAACAATCGCAGTCTGTAGCAATGAGCAAACTCATCTGTGAAACATCTTTTTGCAATGGGCTGCTTGACTCAATTGGTCGTCTTAGGGTGTTTTCACACCTGCGCTGTTTAGTCTGTTTAAATTGAGCTCAGGTTCATTTTCCCCCTTGGTAAGATTTGTTTGTGCAGTTGTGAAGACAGTAACCGCACTTGGGTGCCATTCAAAACAACCACACCGAGACCCTTTGGAGGAGGTGGTCTCGGTGCATTTCCAAACAAGCACCAGAGCGGTTTGTTTATGGTGCGAGCGTGATCTGACCCCAAACTGGACCAACCACCAGCTGTATGCTGCAAGTTTGAACTAAAAAACATTAGTTTGCAATGCATTCTTTGTATTCTTAATGTGGGGAGGTTTTATATATGTGCAGGTCTGTTCGGTCTAGCAACTAGCCAAGAAATCAATGTAAATTCTCAGTTTTCTCACACTGCATCTTCCTCCTATATTTAATTTGTTGCTCCTCTCCTGCCCCAGACACATCTGGTCAATGAATGGACTGAATATTTTCACAGTTTGCAGTTCGCCTGGAGTTCTCTTGGACTTTTCTCTGTAAACCAAAACCACGGGGAAAAGCTACAAGTTTACAAACTCATCAACTGATCGGATCAGACTAAATGAACAATAGTTGTGAAAACGCCCTCAGTTATATTCCTATATAATAGCATGGTTGCTGATCACCTATGGCAATCTGCAGTTTAATTGCAGACCTGCTGCAACTACATCAGTATTTGTGGAAGAATTTCTGAATTTTTGTTAATGGGTTTCAGGCTAGAATCTGAATCCAAGAAGAAAATGTGAATTTATATGTGTGTAGATCACAGATTTGCAATTTACAACTACAGGGAGTGCAGAATTATTAGGCAAATGAGTATTTTGTCCACATCATCCTCTTCATGCATGTTGTCTTACTCCAAGCTGTATAGGCTCGAAAGCCT